CTGGGCGCAGATGGAGGAGCCCGTGCAAAGAGGGTGTGATTGCCCGGCTTTCAGTGGCAACACGAAATGCCTGTTTTGCATTACCCCTAATCTGTGGATAAGCTTTACTCTTTCCTCTTCTGTTTGCTTAGCAACTGGCAGCTGGCTTTGTTGGTCTTCCTTCTTCCCTAAATTTTCATTTAGCCAAACTCTACCTCTAAAGTTTTAAAAGCTTGTTCTATGTCAAAAAACTGAATGAGTCCTACTTAAATCTCTTGGGGGTATGTGGCTCAGTGGTAGAACACTTGTCGAGCATGCATGAGGCTGTGGATTTGAACTCCAGCACTGAAAAAAAAAAGTTAAAAGTCCTTAAGGGATGAGTTCTGGTCCAGAGAAGTGCAGTCTGGCTCACTCCCTCCGTTTTTCTTTTCCCCTTAGGGACTCTACTGGTTTCATCTGGCATCTGCAGGACGAGAATGCCTCCGTAAATTCACACACGCATACCTTGACCAGAGAGTCCTCACTGACACCTCCCTGACTGAGGAGACAAGACAAAATCTGAGGACCCTGCTCCCGCCACTTGCAGCAGGCTTGGGGAATGAGCCGTGAGTGATGGTAGGTGATCCAAACATCTTAAAACAGCTTCATTGGCATAGAGGACGCCCCACACAGTGCAGCTGTCTAGAGTGTGCAATTCTACGGGTTCAATATGCACAACCACCAGCAGTCAAGGAAGGACATTGCACCTTGAGAGAAGCCCTAGGTCCTTGACTCTCAACTCACTATCCCTCAACACCATCCCCACTTCAATTTTGTTCATTCCTCTGTCCTGATATTTCACATGGGTGGAATCACGTTATGTGTGATTTGTGACTGGCTTTTTTCACTTAGCATAGAGATTTCAAGGTTCATCTACGTCATGTCATGGACCAGTGCTTCATTTCTTTTCATGGCTGTACAATATTCCACTGTATGGTTAGACCACATTTTATTTAACCATCAATTGATGGACACTTGGGTTGTTCCTACCTTTGACTGTTATGAATGGTGTTTTTGTATTGACATGTTTTCATTTCTCTTGGATATACCCAGGAGTGGAATTGCTGAGTCATAATGATAACTCTGGTTAATCATTTGAAGAATTGCTTTCCAAAATGGTGGCATAATTTTACATTCCTACCACTGTGGAGGATTCACATTTTTTTATCGCTTCCACAACATCTGTGATTATCTGCCCTTGGATTCTAGCCAACATAGTAGGTTCACAATGAGAATCACTGTGATTTGGTTTGCATTTCCCTGATGACTAATGGCGCCAGGCGTGTTTTCATGTGCTTATTGGACATTTGACATCCTCCTTAGAGAAACATCTGTCCAGATTCTTTGCCCATCTTTTAATTGGGTTATTTGTCTTTTTGTCAGTGAGCTGTAAGAGTCTTTTATATATTCTAGATGCAAATCCCTTATCAGATACATGATTCGCAAATAATTTCTCCTATTTCATGAGTTATCCTTTCACTTTCTTGATTGTGTCCTTTGAAATACAAAAGTTTTCAAGTTTGGTGCAGTCTGATTTATCTGTTTTTTCTTACTGCTCATGATTTTAGTGTAATAGCTAAAAATCCATCACCAAATCCAAGGGCAGGAAGATTTACCCTCATGTTTTCCCAGGTGAGTTTTGTAATTTTAGATCATGCATTCAGGTCTGTGACTCATTGAGTTGATTTTTGTATATGGTGTGAGCTCAAGACCCACACTCGTTCTCTTGCGTATGACTATCCAGTTGTCTGAGCATCATTCTCTGAAAAGACTACTCTTCCTCCATTGAGTGGTCATGGCACCTTTTTTGAAAATAAGTTAATTGCAAACACATGGATTTATCTCTGAACTCCCAGTTCTATTGCATTGATTATGTCTGTCCTTGGGCGACCCCTACACTGTCTTGGTTACGGCAGGTTTGTAGTGAGACTGAACCTGGAACACATAAGTCCTCTAACTGTGCTCTTCTTTTTCATGATTATTTTGACAGGGAATCCTTGCACTTTCCTATGAATTTAGGGCCAACTACTCAATGTCTTTAGAAGCCATCCACGATGTGGATAGAGATTGCATTGTGTCTACAGAACAGTTTAGGGAAACTTGCTGTCCAAATGAATAGAGCATTAAATGTTCTTCATTTACTTAGGTCTTGGTCTCCCTTTGGCTATGCTGGCAGCAGCTGCCATGGGTCCTCTGTCCATCCATCCCATGAGTTGTCTTCTGTGTGACAGAAATTGAGCAGCTTCAGAGGGAGCCACTCTTGGCAGGAGCTCACATCCAGGTGTGCAGAGTGTCTGCACCTTCCAGGCAGCATGGAAATGCTCTCCAGGAGCCAGCCCCTCCTGCACTGCACTGCATCGAGTTCCTTGTCACCAGGGCCACTGAGCTACAGACTTAAGGCAAGCAGCACTGAACAGGTTAATATAGCTCTCTTTAAGGCAGAAAATGATTCCAGACCTGCTGGAGAGCCGGGTTTTAGCGTGACGGGGCTGGATGGCGGGTGCAGCCAGTCCTGACACCATGCCCCTCTACACCCAGTGAAGACCTGAGGTCTACAAGTCACAGTCTCTGAGTCAGAAAGCAGATCATTGCAGTTGGGTATTTAGACAAACCCAACTAACAGGGTTGTGTAGAGCTTTGAGTGACTGCCTTCTTCCACAGCACCACCCACATCCTCCCTGTGCCTGAGGCTTAACTGTGGTTCAATTTATTATTAATCTGGAAACTGCCATAAGCTTCTTGGAAACAGGGGCAGGATAAAGGTTTAAAAGGTTCAAAAGCTTCTGAAGAAAAGCTTCCATCATGATATCTTATCACTGTCACCCCCCACCCCAGTTAGTGAGCCATCCCAGGGTTGTGACTCTGAGGGACAGAGGGATCGTGACTGAGTTTACACAGGGTGGATTCCCTCCTCTCTCCAAGGAGAGAAGTTTAGGCTGGGGAAAAGCACAGGTTGCCGGAGGGAGCATCACAAAGGGCCTGGTAATGGGATGGCCATGCAATCTTACTGCAACCTTGGCCAACGTCTGTAGGCTTGCTGTGCCTCAGTTTCCCCATCTGTGCAGTGAGAAACACAACAGTCTGTATGTCACTGGGTTTCTGTGCAGGTACAAGCTCAGAACAGCTGTCACTTTGGGTCCCTTTCTTTTTTTTTTTGTTTTTACATTTTTTAGCATATGTTAGTGGGGTGGTGGGGTTTCACTGTGATATTTCCATACATGCTTGCGACGTACCTCAGTTAGATTCACCTCCTCCATCATTTTCCCTTGTCTCCAGTCCCCTCTTCTTAAAACAACTTCAGCAGGTTTCATGGTTCTATTTTCTTACAAGTATACAAGTACGTTGACCATATTTACCCTCTTTCACCCTCACAGTGGTATCCACCCCACACAGGACCAGTTTTGCCTTCTTGTCCTTCATTTATTTTTACTTTTTTATTGTGGCTTGAACTCAGGGTCTCACACTTGCTAGGCAGGTACTCCACCACTTGAGCCATGTCCCCAATCCTCTGTCCTTCATTTTTTTAAAGTGTATCTTAATTATTCAAAGGGGTTTCACCATGGTATTTCACACACACATGTATTGTACTTTAATCAGATCAACCCCCTCTACTCCTCTCTCTTTCTCCATCCTCCTGCCCCTCTTATTATTCAACAACTTTCAGTATGTGTCATTATGCCACCCTAATACACAGATGAAATGTATTTTGATATTACTATCATTCTTTTGTTCTCTCCCTCGCCTGCCTCCCCCTAGTCTGCTCAAATAGTCCTACCACGGTCATGTTATATACATGTACATATGATACCTATGCACTTATGCATACATTTATCCTTTAGGTCTAGCTTCCACATATGACAGAAAACATGAGACCTTTGTCCTTGTGAGTCTGGCTTAATTCACTTAACATCTTGATCCCTAGATTCGTCCATTTACCTGCAAGCAGCATAATTTCATTCTTCTTTATGGCTGTACTTTATTGTGTATATGCCACAGTGTCTTAATCCAGTCATCAGTGGTAGGGCATGTGGGCTGTTACCACAGCTTGGCTATTGTGAATAGTGCTTGTAACAAACAGGGGCGTTCAAGTGTCTCTATTGTATCCCGACTTACGTTCCTTAGGATATATGCCCAGCAGAGGTATTGCTGGATCATATGTTAGCTCTACTTTTAGTTTTTTGGGGGAGCCTCCATACTACTTTCTATAAAGGTTGTACTAATGTTATATACATGTAGAAGACTGAAACTAGATCACGGCTTCTACACTACTAGTGTCAGTTCAAAGGAGATCAAAGAACTTAACAATTAAGACCTGCAACTGTGAAACTATTAGGGAAAACACCGGAACATATAGACATAGGCAATAACTTCTTGAATGGAATTTCAGTAGCTCAGGAGTTAAGAGAAAGGATTGACAAATGGGACTGCATCAAACTAAAAAGCTCTGCACAGCAAAGGAAATAGTTGCCAGACTCAGAAGACAGCCCACAGAATGGGAGAAAATCTTTGCCAGCTATCTATCTGACAAGGGATTAATAACCAGAATAGACAGGTAGCTCAAAAAACTAAACTCCCAAAGAATCAACAACCCAATTAATAAATGAGCAAATAATAAACGGACAGTTCTAAAGAAGTGCAAATAGCCAATAAATACATGAAAAAATGCTTAACATTCTTGGCTATAAAGACAATACAAAGCAAAATGACATTGAGATTTTACCTCACTCCAATCAAAATGGCTATCACCAAAAAATATAAACAACAAGTGCTGGTGAACATGGAGGGAAAATGGGTCACTTTCTTATACTGGCTTTGGAACAGTCCAGAGCCTCAAGGTCGGCTTGGGTTCATGGCCACTGAGGGAGGGCACTTTCTGACCATGACCCCCTGGAGGACAGGACATTCACATCTGCTCCACCCATGCTCCTCCCCTGGAGCCCAGCCCTGGGTGCTGGCCATAGCGGGCAGCAGGAGCCCCACAGTTACCTCCGATGTGTGAAGTTGCTCCTGCTGTCAGTCTGTCCCCTGGTCCTCATGACGGAGGCCACCTTCTCCAGAAGCAGGCGGTTGTCCCTGTCGATGACAGACAGCCGCTCCTCCTCCAACTGTGGGCACAGGAAGCCCCAATGAGCTCAGGTTTCTCAAGCACAGTTCCCTTGACTGTGCCTTGCGAGTCCCCTGGCCTCACTAGTGACCACCAGGTGCACAGTGGTGAGGTCAGCATTGGCCAAGATGAGAGCAGAGTGACAGAAATAGGCTGCAGCACAGGATGGAGCTGCAGCACAGCAAGGAGATGTGATACCTTGTAAAACTAGGTCACCTCTGAAACCAGCAAGTGGCAGTCATGCTCGTGAGGAAATAATTTTATACTGTGAGAGAGATTTTACACTGTTGAAGAGAATAATTGAGCCCGGAGGAAGATGATACATGCTTCTCACCATAGGGTTTTTAATTGATCGACCTGCTGGTTTGCCTAAGCTGGTTCTGTAACTTTTAGTTCAGCCTATTCGATATCACTACTTCACAGACACATCACAAGGACGGGGCGGTTTGCTGTGGAGGTGTGACTGTTTCTTACTCTTACCTAACCTTCAAGAGACAAGCACTCTGAGGTGGTCCAGTTTAAGGGAATGACGTAATTAATTATTCTAGAGCTACACTGTACAAACTCTCCCAGGAATCACCCCACCCATGGCTGAGACATGACAATGTGAGGACCTGGAAGTCAGCATCACATGGTGGGCTGAGACCTTGGCCAGGACAGAACTGAGCATGTACCTTCAGTTTCTTGAGCTTCAGGTGCAGGTGGCTGAAAGTCAGTGGAGCACAGGTGTCCACCAGTGGCTGGGCATTCTGGACCTGTGGCATACGTAGAGTAGGCGGTGAGGACCCATGGGCAGTTTCAGTAAATAATTGTAGTAAGCTTAGCTTGTGCAGCTTCTGGGTTACTGGGACCTTTGTCATGATACAAAGACTCCAAATCAGCACATGGGAAAGCTGCAACTGAGACCTGTGATTTGACTTGGAATCCAAATGTCCCCTGGAGGGAACCAGGCAGAAAGGAGCCCAACTGTCCTGTAAGGTAGGGAGTCAAGTGGGTGAGGGCGAGGAGTCCTTGTGTGCTAAAAGTCAGGCATTTCTGCTCTGCCTGAGTGGTAGGAGTCCTTCCTGCAGTGGATTGTGTCCTGTGCCCACCTTGCTGGGCCACCAGAGCTCAGCAATGTGCTCTGGGTGATGCTTTAGCACTGGTTGGCTGAGAAGCAATCCCTGCAGAGTTTCCAGCTACCAGATGTATGACTAAGGGGAAATGTTGACTTTAAACTGTGATGGATTACATGCATGAGGGCTAGGCATGTCATTGCTTGCAATACAAGGAATCCCAGGTCATGGACTACTGATGTTAGCTGATAATGTTAAGGCAGCAGCACTGGGAAACCCCACCAGCGAAGGCATGTACCTGAAGCACTTCTAAATGACAACACTGGGGCGGGTATAGCTCAGTGGTAGAATGTTTGCCTAGTATACATGAGACCCAGGGTTCAATTTCCAGCACTGCCAAAAAATAATAGTCATAAATAAATAAAACAAAAATGACCACACATGCATGATGCAGTCCGAAGTCAAACCCATGGGGGCAATTCGGTGACAGATGGAGGACTGTGAAGACACAGCAAGATGTCAGGACTGCCAGAGGGCTGGGGGTAGACCATGGTGTGGAGCACACTCAGGAACTGGAATGGTGGAGGAGTAACATGGTCACCAACACTGCCACTGTGTGTGGGAAAAGGCAAGACTGGAGAAAAGAGGTGGTGCAAAGGCACTGTGGTCTTCCAGGGCCACAGAGATGAAATTGGCAGGTGTCAGCCTGTCTGAGGCTGTGTCTGCGGGGCTGGGCTTGGGGAGAGGAAGTAGAGGAAGCCCCCATGCTCCCTTTTGATACCCGGTGACACCGAGACAGAGTGACGTTGGTAAGCAGATTCTGTGTGGGACATCTTTAATCTGAGAAGACTGTGTGGAACTTTCTAGAAAATTTGTTCAAGATTCAGGTGAAAATTTAAGATCCAGTGCCATTACTCAAAGCACAGTGCTAGCTTGCCTTATGATAGCAGCTGTGTTGACGGAGCCTTATCTGACATCACCTCGTCTGTGAGACACTGAGCACTGTGGTTCCTGTCAGTGAAATGCAGCTGATGGGAGCAGAATCCCAATGGTGAAGACTGGATCGAGCAGAGTCATCAGTGGACACCCAGTCCCTGGGGAGGCGGGTCTTTCAGTGCACAAGGAGGCACTTAATCTAGGCAGCTTTGGGAAGCTGACACCTGACAGACAGTCAGTCCCAACACCCAGTGAGACGCAGGTGTCCACAGGGCATTTCTGGGTTCTGGCTTGAGAGGGACCTGGCACATTTTTTATCTTCCATTTTCGGCTGCAATATCTACATTTACTTATAAGGAAACACAAGATAAACCCAAACTGAGGACCATTTTGCAAAACAAGTGTTCTGTGTGCTGAAAAATGTCCATGAAAGGCAGGAAGGTTCAGGGCACTGCACAAACATGAAGGCGATGGCAGTGTGTGACACTGGACATTGGGGACAAGCTGTGAAGTAAGTGGCTGAGGCAATTAGAATGGAAATAACTGTGCAGTGTCACTTTTGTTCTTGGAGAATATACACCAAGACAGTAAAGATACATTGTGTTCAACCCACTCTCACAAACCACATCTCTATTTTCCCCCCGTGTGTGTGTGTGTGTGTGTGTGTGTGACAGTGAGAGAGAGAGAGAGAGAGAGAGAGAGAGAGACCTGCATAACAGTGTGAGGGGGTTGAAGTTATTTGTACTAATCTTAGCATGGTTCTCTAAGGTGAAATTATTTGAAATAAAAGGTCATTTTTATATTCCAGCTTAGTCCCACTGACCTCCCTTTTTTTTTTTCATTTTTCTTTTATTATTCATATGTGCATACAAGGCTTGGTTCATTTCTCCCCCCTGCCCCCACCCCCTCCCTTACCACCCACTCCGCCCCCTCCCCTCCCTCCCCCACTGACCTCCCTTCATCTCACAGTGCCCCTCCCCAGGCTGGCTTGTACCTTCCCAGCTTTTTCATATTTTTACCCCTTATCAGTGAACCTGAAATCACACATTGTATTATTTTGTTTTAAGTTTAACTGTATCTAACTGTAATTATCATTCTGCTTCTTCTTCACTCAAAAGTATGATTTAAACTATTGCATAAAATTTCAAACATAGGTAAAAGTAGAGAAAATAGTGTAATGAACCCCCTGCAGCCCTGTTGGCTCCTGGTGAGGCTGGGTTCATCTCCTCCTCAGTAGAGACCACAGAAAGCCAAAGCAGAACCAGCACTCAGATCTTTCCATGTGTGTTTTAAAAGATAGAACCTTCTTAAAAACCGTAATTTCAGTACCACAATCACACTCAAAATAGCAATCAGCACTGTTTACACTCCTGCGTTACTTCCTCGTCTTCCTTCCTCTCTTTTCTCCTTCCTTTCTTGACTTAGGAACCAAGTAAAACAGTCCCACCATTGTGTTAGTGGAAGTGTCTCTTATGCTTTTTTGCAAGTGTGGTTCCCTGTTTTTCCCTGCAGTTTCATGGTCTGGGTTTTACTGACAGCCTCCTGATGTTTTCTGTAAACTGCCACTCACAAGTCCAGGTGTGACTTTTTTCCTTTGACAAGACTGAAGCACAGGTTGTGAATGATAGCTTGTCAGGAGGCATAAACTTCTGCTTTTCTCTGTGTCACATCGGCTACAATGGAGTGTCCGAGAACCAGTACTTGACCAGGGTTGAACATGCAGATAATCAAATCCATCTTCACTCAGCATTTTTTTGCTAGAATATTCCACAAAGTAAGCTTCGCCTTGGCAGGATAAATACTGGGGCGGGGGGGGGGGCGTCTTTATTTACCTTTTTTTTTTTTTTTGAGACAAAGTTTTGCTATGTAGCCCAGACTGGCTGTGAATTCATGCTCCTCCTTATCTCAGCTTCCCAAATGCTGGGATTACAGATGTGCGCCACCATGCCTGGTTTATTTATCAATTTTTAAAAATGTTTCAGACGTTTCACTAGATTGTTACCAACCTCCTTAGTGAGTTCACCTCCTGCCACCTTTGGCCAGTGAGAGCCCTGGAGCCCTTTGTGAACATGCCAGAGGTCTTGGAGTCCTCACCTTCTACAATGGAATGGTGCAGGTGGCCTGGAGCCAGCCCTGTCCACGACTGACTCAGGGCATTAGAGGCCACGGCTGGGTATCGTGGTTGTCATCATCACTGTGGGATCTTGTTGCTTCCTCCCCTGCGTGAACACTGCTCTTCTCTCCTTCCAGTTCTGGAGCCTATCCCTTCCTGGGAGCCACCTGTCCCACAGCTGCAGTTCCACATCCCCCCACCCCTGGGCGAATGATGCCACAGGACCCCTTGGCATGCAAACACCCAGCAGAATCAAAGGAGCAATGCCTACACTGTCACTGCCAATGTGAACCCAGGAAGAGCTCAGTGTTTTCCATTGCCTTGTCTTTGGGGATCTCACTATAAATGCACAGATTACTTACTTAAAGGCAACCTCTCAGTATGGTTAGGACATGAGTTGCATCTGTAGTTAGGGCCATTCATTCTCAATAGTTAGGAATGCTTCTTAAACTTAATTCTGTCTTGTAATATGTAAAATATTTATATGGTTTCCAAGCTGAAACAGCTGAAAGTGTCTTTTCCCAAGAGATCGGGGCCTTCACCCTATTCCCACTGGTAATTCTCTCAATTTTACAATTTCTTCCATTTTTAAAAATTCAAGGACATACATAAAATATGTATGTATTTTTAGGTATGTTTACACACACATTTCCACCCAGACAAATACAGCAGATTTTGTAAATCTTTCTCCACTTTGCCTTTTCCATTAAATAATACATATTAGCCAGCTTCTCATCACCGGAGGCAGGCTACTTTATACATACAAGAGGTTTACTTTGGCTTGAGGCTCTGGTCCAAGGTTGGGGACCATACTGGCAACAGCCTTGCTGGTAGAGTCCTGGGGCAGAGCAGGGTATCATTCGGTAAGACACAGTGGAAGTGTGTTTGTGTGTGAGTGATGCATGCGTGTACATGTGTGTATATGTGTGCTGCATGTGCATATGTGTGTGATGCATTGTACATGTGTGCATGTGTGTGGTGCACTGTGTGGTGCATGTGTGCAATGTACTGTGTGATGCGTGCATGCATGTATGTGTGTGGTGCATGTGTGTATGTATGTGATGCATTGTGCATGTGTGTGTATATGTGTGTGATGCATGTGTGTGTATATGTGTGTGATGCATGTGTGTGTGTGCAGTGCATTGTGCATGTGTATATGTGTGTGGTGCATTTGCGTATGTGTGATGCACGTGTGTACATGTGCACGTGCGTGTGTGTGATGCATGTATGTGTGTGTAATGCATTGTGTGCAATGCATTTGTGTGTGTGTGATGCACTGTATATATATGTGTGTATATGTGTGATGCATGTGTATATATGTGTGTAATGCATGTATGTGCAGTGCATGTGTGTGTGTGTGCATGTGTGTTTGTGTGTGGTCTCTCTTCTTTTTCTGTGGTGCTGGCTAAGGCCAGCACATACCAGGCAAGTGTTCTGCCACTGAGGTACATCTCCAGCCCTCTTGCTCTCCTTGTAAAGCCACCAGGATTCAATCAGGAGCTCCACCCTGATAACATTTTTAAATTATAATCACCTCAAAAAGGCCCTGCCCATAAACACTGCATCACATCGGGTTTCCCCTACTACCTCAGCGAGGACTACATTTAGCAGGGGAAGCCTGGGGGTGGCACACAAACCATATCCAACCACC